GGTGTGGCCCTAAATTGATAAACAAAATTCTTGAGGACTAATATCAATATCAGGCAATACATATTGTGAAAACTTTTCAAAGATGAATTAACAGGATCTAACAAAATATTCGCAACTGATTTTTTTCTTTTGGTGGCTTCACCCATAGGTGCTCAGGCCTACTTCTGGCTCTGTTTTCAGGGATCACTCCTGGCAGTGCGTGGGGGGCCCTATGTTGTGCCAAGAATTGAAACCAGGTTGCTTGTGTGCAAGCCAAGCACCTAAACCTCTGTATTGTCTCTTCGGCCCATTATTTGGGTTTTGGCAGTGCTGGGAATCAAATGCAGAGCCTCACATAAACAAGACAAATGCTCTAACATGGAATTTGGAATAATTTTTTAAAAAACATTTTAAATTTAATTTTATTTTTATAAAGTTGTTCACAATAATTAATTACATTTAGTATTAAAACACCAATCTCACCACCATTGCACCTTCCCACTACCATAAGAGGAAACTATGTGAAGATTGTGTATTTCATCCTTGAGCCATTAAGCCTTTGTATAAGAGATTACAAACATCTTAAACCCATTCAAATATGTGCTACTTTTGGTACATCAGTAGTGTAGAGTATGAGAGGTTGTGGCTGCACGCTTCAGGAATTCTAAAATTTAGAATACGATTATACAGCAGATTCACTCATGGGTGAGGCCTATGTCGCTCTCTTCCAGGAGCTTTGTTTCTGAGTCTTTGGATCTTGGCCATTGATGAGATTATATGGCACCAGTAGCAGTTTGTGGGTGTGACTGTCAAACTACTGGTAAACTTGGGAGATGGGGAGAGGAGGCCCATTCCTGATTTGAGCGAGCTTGGAGATTTCAGTCACGGGTCCTGCATATCTGGGCCCCTCTGTAGATTTGCTTGTGGGTAAGGCTCGTCAGAGCCTGTGGAGAGCATCTGTGAGCATGGAAGCAATTGGGTTCTGGAAGTTTTGGGCTGCAGGGCTCTGTTGGGACAGGGAGGGAAACTCAACCCACACCCCTCCGAGTTGCCCTGATGAAGACCCAGACTTGGAATTACTTTTTAAAAATTATTTAAGACTTCTTTAAGTGATGTTTTCAGTTTGTGGAGCATTGGAAAAATGAAACTGTAAACTTTTCTCGAACATTTAAAATCAGGAGCCAGAGAGATAGTAAAGTGGGAAAGGCGTTTGCCTTGAACACATCTGACCTGGGTTGGATGCCCAACATTTCATATGGTACCCTGAGTCTGACAGGCGTGATCCCTAAACACAGCTAGGAGTAATCTCTGAGCACAGAAGGGTGTGGCTCCAAAACAAAACAGAAAAAAATGAGTTTCTTTTAAAAGTCTCCACTTGAACAAGTATGAAACACTTTTAAAAGAATGTTTTTTGGGGGTTCTGGTCCACACCCAGCATTGCTCAAGGGTTTCTTAGGGGACCATATGCAATGCTAAAGATAGTACTGGGGCTGTCCACTAGCAAGGCCTGAAACTGTGTATTATCTGTCCAACTATCCCCAACTCCATTTAAATACTTTTAAAAGTTAATTGAGATACTTGCACAGGGACACTCATTTGAACTCCAATTAAGTTAACTATACCCCTCCATAAAAGAATGCCTAGTAGACCTGTATTACAAAAGCATGTTAATTACTATTACATTTAACTAGTAATATAATGAACAATAACATAAATAGATAAAATTAGTACATTGAATTTCAACAATAAAATGTTTGTGAAACCTTTATGTCTCTCATCAAATATACTAATTGTGTAGGTATATAATGCTTCTGATTTTTGCTCTTGGTTTATCTAAAATGCCTTGTAGAGAAAAATTCCTCCTACTTGAACTAACTTAAGTCACTTGCAGGGGATGAGACTATTTATAATGGATCACTGTATAACCTGTCTATAGCACAGTGTCTGACTCAGAGCAGAAGATCAATACTACTGAATAACACTTTTATAATGATGATTGAGGAGTAAAACCTGTGATTTTAAAACGAGGAGCAAATGCTGTGATTCTATAAGACTTGGATTGATATTTTTAGACTTCATTTAACTCAGATCCATTTAAAGTTAGCAGATCACTTAAAATTTCCATTGGTTGATATTTTCTGTATCTTGAAATCTGTACGTTGTAGGGATATGGTGTCATTTTACTAACCACAGTTCCTATTTTCAGTAAGTTCTCTGTTAAAAATTCACTCTTCTGATATCATCAATTAAATTTTTGGTTTTATTCAATGTAAAATATCTTAGTGTCCTTATTCTGCACTCCAAAGAGTATTCTGGGAGTGTTTCTGAGTTGGAAAACAACAGTGAAAGATGCTCCTTCTAACTGAGGATTGTTAAGATGACTCTTTCCAAATCATTTACATGATTAGGGTGTAGATTCTCGAATATACAGTAAACTCTTACAATTCAGGGGCCATAGTAATAGTATAGCGGATAGGGCATTTGCCTTTCATGTTGCCAATCCAGGTTAGATCTCAGGCATCCCATACAGCAACCCTGAGCCAGACAAGAGTAATTACTGAAGCAGAGTCAGGAGTAATCCCTGAGCATTCTTGGGTGTGGCCCCTAAACAAACAGAAAACCAGTCTTACAGTTCAACAATTAAATTACAAATAATCCAATTAAAAATGGACAATAGATGGGGCTGGATTGATAGCACAGCGGGTAGGGCGTTTGCCTTGCACGTGGCCAGCCGACCGACCCGGGTTCAATTCCCAGCATCCCATTTGGTTCCCTGAGCACCACCAGGAGTAATTCATGAGTGCATGAGTCAGGAGTAGCCTCTGTGCATCACCGGGTGTGACCCAAAAAGCAAAAAAAAAAAAATGGACAAAATATTTGAATAGACTTTGTCAACGACTTATAAATTACTGATTAGCATATGGGAAGGCTTAACTCATTAGTCATCAGGGAAAGGCAAATCAAAACCACAATGAGATGCCACTCCACATGGATGGCTGTAAAACGAAAGACAGACAATAAAATTTACTGGTGAGAGAACCATCATCGGCACTCCTATGTTTATTGCAGCACTAATCACAATAGTCAGAATCTGGGAACAACCTGAATGCCCTAGCACAGACGAATGGATAAAGAAATGATGACACATTTACACAATGGAATACTACACAGCTGATAGGAAAAATTAAGTCATGAAATTTGCCTATAAATAAATGGGCATGGAGAGTATCATGCTGAATGAAATGAGTCAGAAGGAGAGGGACAGATATAGAATGACTGTATACATTTTGGTAATGCTGGAGCGATAGCACAGCGGTAGGACATTTGCCTTGCACGCAACCAACATGGCCGACCCGAGTTCGATTCCTCCGCCCCTCTTGGAGAGCCCGGCAAGCTACCGAGAGGATCTGGCAAGCTCCCCGTGACATATTCGATATGCCAGACACAGTAACAACAAAGTCTCCAATGGAGACGTTACGGGGCCCGCTCGAGCAAATCGATGAACAACGGGAGGGCCTTTACCTTTACCTTTGGTAATGCATATTACCATATATATAAGAAGACTAGAACACAAATATCCATGGCCAGGGAAAAGAGGGCCTAGGAAGACTGGTCAATGTTTGGAATCAACCACAAGTGTGTGTGCGGTGGAGGGTAGGTAAGAGAGTGAAGTGACCAATACGAAAATAATATCTGGAGACTATCACGCTGGACAAGAACTTAATGTTAAAAGTAGTTAAAGGGATATACCAGATAACCTTTCAGTATCTGTATTGCAAACCCCAATGCCCAAAAGGAGACAGAGAGCAGGGGGTGAGGCGGCGGGGGGGGGGGGGGGGGGGGGGGAGGGGAAGTGCCTGCCATAGAGGAAGACTCGGGGGAGTGATGGGATACTGGTGCTGGAAATGTATACTGGTGGAGGAATGGGTGTTGGAACACTGTATGACTGAAACCTAATCATGAACAGCTGTAAGGATCATGTAAGGATCTATCTCATAGTGATTCAATTAACAAATTTTTAAAAATTTACTGGTTCAGATATGAGGCAAGTGGGAACTGCCCAACCCTGCCTATGCACTGCTGAAAGAACTGTAGAATAGTAGTTTCTGAAAAAATGCTCTTTTGAAAGTTTCTCAAAAGATTCAACATAAATTTATATGACCCAGGAATTTCCCTTCTAAGCATATACCCAGGAGAACAAGAAACATGCTCTTACAAACACTTGTAAACCAATCATTTATAATATTGGGAATTATATCCAAAATGTTGCAGTAACCTAAATACCTATCAACCAAAGACTGTATAAACACAATGTGGTATAGTCCGTAGAAAAGAATATTCTTCGCTCATAAAAAGGAATGAAGTTCCTTTTTACCAAATCTTGGTTACTTTTTCCTTTTAACTACATGAATGGACCTTGAACATTTTGATGTTAAAAAGCCAAACCAGCAACATTGACAGGAAATGTACAGAAGGTGCAACTCCATGTACACAGAAAGTAGAATCGTGGCTGCCAGGGTCTGGGAAAGAAGCTTGGAAACTGCTAATGGGTATGGAATTTCTTTTGAGGAGGTTGAGAATGTTCTACAATTAGTGGTGGATCGGTTAAAACGCACTGAATTATACACTGTAAAAGGGTGAATTTCAGGTTCTGTGAATAATGTCACAGCCTAAAGTTCTCTACTTCCCTAGGAAATTAGTCAGAACATAGCCATTCAAGTTAAAATCACACTTAAAGGTACACAAAAAAGCTGTGTAGTATGAAGAACATGCACTAGGAGGTCTATTATGTTAGGTTTCATATATTTATAAACGCTTAGACAAGTGCATATGTGGGTGGAAATACAAGGGAATGACTGAAATAATAGGAAGCCTCCCAAAGTGAAGTTGTCCGGCTCAGACCAAGGCAAAGGAGGCTGGGGTGATGCAGGGCGTCCCCCGCAATTATCAGTTGAATGGGACGGCCCGGAAGTTCACGTGCCGACGCCTTCCACGTGACCTGCGTTATCCTAGAGGGAAAGGCTCAACGCGATTGTGACGTCATCACCGCGCGCCTTTGTATCTTGCAGGACACTTAGTTGCCATACCTGGGAACTATGCCAAAAGTAGTATCGCGCTCGGTGGTCTGCTCTGACACCCGGGATAGGGAGGAGTATGATGACGGCGAGAAACCCCTCCACGTCTACTACTGCTTGTGCGGTCAGATGGTCTTAGTGCTGGGTGAGTAGACGGGGAGTTGGAGAGGGTCCGCGTGGAGCAAACCTTTGACTTCGCGCGGGGGAGTTTCCTGGCTCCTGCACTCCTGGCGTTCTTCTGGGTCGCTGTGGCTATGGGTGGGCTTTCCCTCGCCCGCAGAATACCACTGTTCTTTCCACACACACCCCATCCACCCAACCCGTCTGGGTCCTCTTTTCTTTCTTCAGATCAGTGACTGTGCCTAGATTAGTTTTGATAATCAAAATGTGTTTGCTCATTTCTCTGCCGCTGGTAGTAACTTAGCAGTCTGATTCGAGGACGTTGCAGTGATGTGAAGGCAAAATACCACCAGTCCAGCATAAGCATTACCCGCCGGTTTTAAGTTATCATCTACTTTTCTTTTAATAGCAAAGATCTGAGGCACCAGAGACCTAGTATACAGGGCAAAGTATATGCCTTACACGCAGCGAACCCTGGTTCGAGCCCTGGCACTGCATAGAGTGCCAGGAGTGATCCCTGTACACAGAACCTGGAGTATGCTCCGAGCATATCTGGGTGTGGTACAAAAACAAGCCTAAAGAACAAAAGGAAAAGTGACTTCTCTTGTACACAGAGCAAACGCTTTACCTCTGAGCCACATCTCTAGCCACAGAATCATTCTTGATATCTTTCTCATCCAACCAGCCCTTCAAAAAATGCGCAGGGGCTTCCTTGAAACTCAGAAGCTGCTGCCTCCTTGCCATTTCTACCACTTTGTTCCAAGCCCCCATCATTTCTTGCTTGGATTGCCACAGTAATCTGTCCCTGGTCACTTTTTCTCCCCGCTGGTCTATATTCCAAAAATTATCAATAGAGTGCAATTTCAAACCAGTGACTTCTTATAGTTCTAAGAAGAAAACTAGGTACTCACCATTCCCCACACCTTGCATTTTTTAGAAGAAAACTCTTCTCTGACTACCTGATCAAAAATAACACCCTTGTCATTTTCTCTTTGGCCTCTTACCCTGTCTAAATTTTCCTGGTTGCCTTTATGCCTCTCATAGGCTCTTGTTTATTCTTTTAAGGTCTTTCCTAGTTTTTTTTGTGTGTGTGTGTGCAGCAAGAAAGTTTTTAATGAAACTTATTTAGAAAGATGTAAGAGGAGAAAAAGGGAGAAGTACACATGCAAGAGAGAACAGGCTTTTGCAGAGTGGAAACAGGCAAGCAAAGAAACACAGACAAGCAAATGAGATACAGGGATTGAGGAGCAAGCTAGTTTTTTTAAATTGGCACTTGGCATTAGCCTACATCATATCATATAATTATTTCAAACTTTTCTGTATCCTGCTTAAATGCATCCTTAATTTTCTTTTTGTTGAATTCCCAGCACTGGTTTTTGTTTTATTTGGGGGAGGGTCAGGGTTTGGGCCATACCCTGTAAGGCTCAGGGCTTACTTAGGATTCTGCTCAGGGATCACTCCTGGTAATGCAGAGTGCCAGGTATGGAACTGGTAAATGCCTTAACCTCTATACTATATCTCTGACTCCCAGCACAGTGTTTGGACTGCGCCTGTTACTTAGAGGGCCTGCATGTATTTGTTGTGTGAATGAATTATTTTGAATTACCTTTTTCCCCAAGCCCCACCCCAGAATTCTTTTTTTGTGGGGGAGTGGGTTTACAACTGGTGGTGCTCGGGGCTTACTCTAGCTTTGTGCTCAGCGATCGCTCCTCTGGGCTTGGAGGACTGTATGGGATGCCAGGGTTTGAACCTGGGTTGGCTGCTTGCAAGGCAAGTACCCTTCCAGCTGGACTATCGCTCTGGGTCTCTCACAATAAACTTCTGAATGCTTTAGGGTGTATTCATGTGTCTTTGCTGACCAGATTCTTCTCTGTGCCTACAGATTGTCAGTTGGAGAAATTGCCCATGAGGCCCCGGGATCGGTCACGGGTGATTGATGGAGTCAAACATGCCCACAAGTTCTGCAACACAGAAGATGAGGAGACAACTTATCTTCGCCGGTAAGAGAATGGGCTTATCTGTTGAGGATTTCCTGGTGTCTTGGTTCTAGGCCCATAGACAATTAAAAAACCTATCTTGCCTTAAACAGGTCACTTTCCTGGGGTATATTTGGCTCAGGAAATATTTGGCCACCCTGAGTGTGCTACAGCAGTGTTCTCAGGTGACAGATTGCTTTATTATTTTTTATAGTTTTTTTTGTGTTTTGGGTCAGACCCAGTGTTGCTCAGGGTTTACTCTTAGCTCTACAATTAGGGATCACTCCTGGTGGGCTCGGGGTATCATATGTGGTACCAGTGATCAAACCTGGGATAGTCTTGTGCAAAGCAAATGCCCTGCCTACTGTATTATTGTTCCAGCCCAAGATAGGCTACTTTATGGGAAGGGGGTTCTGGACAACAGGGATAGGATAATGCTGAGGTGGACAAGTTTTAATATTTTGAGGTTTGTATTTTGGGTCATGTTTTGCTGTGCTTACTTTCGGCTTGGTACCCAGGGGTGACTCCTGGTAGGGATTGGGGGCACTCTGTGGAATGCCGAAATCGATGCCAGGTCAGCCATGTGCAAGGCATACACCCTACCTGCTTTTCTACCTCTCCAGCCCTGGATTATTCTTTGTAGCTCAGTAGCCATGTCCTTTGAAGCAGCTATCTGGCATGGTCTGTCATAGATGAGCGGGGGAGTCCTTGGCTTATGTGGGATTCCTGACTTCTCAGGAGTTGGAATCTGGGACGAGAGACATGGTTATAGAACAAGTGTGGGGCAAGGGGCCGAGCGGGCCAAAAGGATGCTCTGCGGAAATGTTGCCCTTGAAAATGCAGATAAAAGAAGGGGGCTGGAACCAGGACAAGCAGGTGAGGTGGGGAACAAGAGGAAAGAGTGTTGAGAAACATATGCGCTGTGTTGCATAGGATGGTCATCCATTGGGACCACGAGCCACAGAGAGGTTAATCCCAGGGAACTTGAAATCCACACAACACCTTGGCTGCACTACTGTATTCATTTGCTAGGGCTTTTTTTCACAAAGGACCACAAGTAAGGTGACTTGATGGGAGTTCATTGTCTCACAGTTCTAGTGGCTGGAAGACTGAAATGAGAGTGAGGGTAGGGCCATAGTTCTCTCTATTTAGTGTAAGAGTATTTCTTGCTTTGCCCCTTCCTGCATTTCTGGTGTTTGTTGGCAGGCCTGGAGTCGCTTGGCCCAGAATTACCAGTCTCCCTCCAGCACATCGCCTTTGCCCGTCATCTCTGGCTCTTTTCTTTCCTTTATTATTTTTGGTTTCGAGGCCACACCTGGCAGTGCTCAGGGCTTCCTCCTTGTTTAACCTCAGGAATCGCTCCTGGTGGGGTCCTGGGAATTGAACCCAGGTCAGTTGCATTCAAAGAAAGCACTCTACCCAATTGTACTATCTCTCCAATCCCCATCTTTCCTTTAAAATAATTTTTTTGGGGGAAATGGGTCACTCCTGGCAGTGCTCAGGTCTTACACCTGGCTCTGCGATCAGATACCATTCTTGGCAGGGCTCAGGGAACCCTAATCAGTGCCAGGGATTGAACTTTCATCGGCCCTGTGCAAGGCAAGCACCTCAGCCCACTGTCCTATCTCTTGAGTTGCAAGTGTGTTTCTTCTTTCACAATAAATTAGACTGGATTAAGGGGACAGTCTTCACCTCTATGCCTCACAGTTAAACATTTTTTTCAGTAGAGGCCAAAGAGGTCATTCTAAGTGTGATCCATGGCCCCACAGGGCCCCAGGAGCATGGCCTGGAAAAACCTCACTGGTTTCTGTGGTCTCAGGCCCTACTGGGCCTGACCATCAACCAGCCATCCTGGTTGACTGAGAATCACAGGAAAGGCCTCTGGGGGGCCTGAGCTATATTTGGGAGATCTCTCCCCCCAATTTTGTTTTGGCCTCTTTGGCAGTGCTCAGGATTTACTCCTGGCTCTGCACCAAGGGATCACTCTTGGCATGTTTGGGGTACCCTGTGGGGTGCCAGGATTGAACCAGATTGGTTGCATACAAGGCAAGTGCCCTACCTGCTGTATTATTGTTCTGGCCCTCTTTTTTGTTTTGTTTTGGGCACATACCCAGCTGTACTCAGGGCTTACTCCTGACTCTGTTCTCAGGTTTCACTTCTGGGAAGGCTTGGGAGTCCATAAGGGGCGCTAAGAATTAAATACAGGTCATCTACCTGAATGGCATGTGCCTTAATTGTTGTACTGTCTCTCCAGCACCTTTCTGCCCCAACTTTTAAAAACTTGAACCTTGTCCTATGACCTCCTTTAAACAAGGGCATTTTCTGAGGTTTGTGGATGGACATGACTATTTCAGAGGTAAGTGGGGTTAGACCACATTCAAGGGTGCTCAGAGATTACTCCTGGCTTAGTGCTCAGGGATCACTCCTGGGGTGCTTGGGAGTACCCTATTCAGTGCTGGGATGGAATTCGGGTTGGTCACGTGCAAGGCAAATTCCTTCCCCACTGTCCTATCTTTGGCCCACAGACATGACTATTTAAGGGGCATTGTCTAACCCAGTTCCAACAGTAAACAAGAAAAAATCTCTGCCATTATGAGCTTATATTGCACTGTGAAATGGAAAAACCCCATGGACTGACATTTGCTCTGCTATTTAAGAAACCAAAGAAGTGGATATACATGATTACCTTTCAGTGCCTTTATTACAAAATATAATGCCCAAAAGGAAAGACAGAGTGAGAGTGAGAGTGAGAGAGAGAGAGAGAGAGAGAGAGAGAGAGAGAGAGAGAGAGAGAGAAGAAAAGTTCCTGCCATTGAGGCAGGCTGAGGGGGCTGGTGGGAGGGAATCTGGGGACATTGATGGTGGGTAATATACACTGGTCAAGGGACAGGTATTGGAACACTATGACTGAAACCCAGTCATGAACAACTTTTTAACTGCATGTCTCACGGTGATTCAGTTAAAAAATTAACCAAAGGACATATATATATATCTCACAACTTCTTAAATCAAAAACAAAAATTAAAGGATAAGTTTTAAAAAAAGAAACCAAAGGGCAGGGTTCCGGCTAGAGTACAGTGTGTAGGCCTTGCACAAGCCAACCTGTGTTCTATCTCTGGCACATCATATGGGTTTCCCAAGCCCTGCCAGAAGCGATCCTTGAGCGCAGAGGCAGGAATAAGTCCTGAACACCGCCAGGGGTGGTTCAGAAACCAGAAAAAAAGAGGCTGGTGGTATGGCATGAAAGGATGCTGATTGTGATTATGGCAGCACAGAGGAAGGAAAGCGAGGGTTCCTGCAATGAAGCCCATGATCCTCTCTGGGGAGCCTGTCGGACTTCATGCTATTTAAAGTGAGACCAGAAAGCTGAGAGCATGACAGCTGCGGCAACTGGTCAGAAGAACATTCCAGGTAAAGAGCAGAGTCTATGTGTGAAAGGTGAGAGCATGCTTGCCTGTTCGATGGAACAGGAGGAATTCAGCATTGGCTAGTGCTGGGGGTGAGGCAAGGGGCTGGAGGCAGTGAGCCAGGGACCCACATATGTACCTGGGTAAGACAGCATAAGGAATCGGGTTTTTGTTTTGTTTTTGGTCTATACAAAGCTGTGCTCAGGGCTTACTCCTGGTTCTGCCCTCAGGAATCACTCCTGGCTGTGCTTGAGGACCCTATGTAGTCCCAGGGATCAAAACTGAGTTGGCTACATACAAGGCAAACACCCTACCTGCTGTATACTATTGCTACTGCTGGAATAGGAGTTTTCTAAAGACTGGAGAGGTAAGGTGCTTGCACTGCATATTGCAGACCTGCTCTGATCCCTGGCACCACATTAGATCCCTTGAGTACAGAGTCAGGAGTGAGCCCTGAGTACAGCCATGTATGGCCTCAAATTGAACAAATGAAAAGAACCCCACCAAACAAAGGAATTGGGGTTTTCCCCAAGGGATCTGAAATCACACCGTAGTTGAAGCAGATTTTAGAGTAAGCATACATTCAGTTTCTGATTCGGACTTAAAGTGGGGAAGACTTAAGTCACATACACACACACATACACACACATACACACATCCTACCCATGATGGGTATGCCCCAGAAAAGTTTCGAAGTTATGCGAGGGGAAAGCAGTCAACGACAAAGGTCAAGTTGTTATATTTGTAAGGCCCTTTTCACATTTGCAGTTCTCCTTACTATAAAATTCTGACATAGTCGACCAAGATTGTGAACAGATGGGGGGAGGGGGGAGGGGAGGAGAGGAGAGAAAGAGAGATTGAGAGAGAGAGATGGAGGGAAGGAAGGAGAGAGAGATTGCGAGAGAGAGGGAGGGAAGTAGATGGAGGGAAAGAGAGAGAGCAAGAGAGCACTCAGCTGGCTGAGTGCAAACTTTGCCTTGGGGAGACCTGGGTTTGATTCGTGACACCACAGGTTCCCCCAAGCACCACTGCCCCTGGTACAACACTGAAGCTAAGAGTAGCCCTTGGGCATTGCCAGGTGAGGCCCCAGGGATGTAGCTCAGTGGTATAGTATAGTGTAGGCTTTGCATGTCTAATATCCCAAATTTGAGCACTGCTGCGCCCCCATACACACAAATGCCTATGAAGTACATGAATCTTTGATTCGCCACTACACATATTTCACACACATCACACAAACACATGTGCATACACGTGGTTATTAAGAATAAGAAGCTGTGCGTAACCAATCTTTGGTTAAGGTGCATGTAAGGATTGCAGTCCACCCCTAGTTCCCTTCCTAGCACCACATGGTTCCCCAAGTATCACTGAGTGCAGTGCTGGGGGTGCCCCAGCACTGTAAGGCCAGGGCAGCCCTGCATTCCATTTGACTGAGTCCCCCAGAGAGGTCCCTGTGTCCCCTGAGCACCACTTTGGAGGCCCGATTTTCAAAAATGCAAATGTGACATCTGTTTTCTCAAGCGTCAGTTTGGCAGTGATGCCTTTCATTTTATTTTGTGGTGGAGCCATACATAGAACTCAGGGCCTCACACATGCAAAGCAAGTGCTCCACTGCTGAGCCATATTCCTGCAGTAATGCCTGTGAATAACCTACCCTAATGGAGAGACAGTGGGGTGGGGGGTGCCAGGAACTCTCACAGTGGAGGGGCTGTGAATGTGGAGTCAGCTGCTAGAGAGCAGTTTCGTAGCATCCATCAGATAGTTCCTGTCCATCCAGCAGGTAAAGGACACTGAGGTGCAATCACACACAGCAGTGTGTAGCCCTTACAAAAGCTGGAGTGGTTCCTTGCAACATGGACAGAGCTGAGGATACCGTGCTGAGTGAAGTCAGAAGGAAAGGGATAGGCACAGAAGGATCTCACTCTAGGTGGGACTTCACAAAGATACACAGCAAGGGAGCAGCAAAGGGCCAGAGGCAGCACAACAGGAGAGCTGATCTACACAGCTGAGTTGGGTGGGAGGGGATTGGAGAGTGGGGAAGAGGGGTGGAAAAGGAGGAGACGGAGGTGGCTACACTGGAGATGGGTGTGGTGTTGGAATTATGTGCACGGAAACCATCGTTAACAGCATTGTAAATCACAGAACCTCATTCAGTTACAAAGTTAAATAAAAATTGAAAAATGATAAAAAAAAAGGATGGAGTGGCTCTTTACCAGTTCATAGGAAAGGATCACATACATGTGTGTTAAACTAAGAATGTGTGTTTGTGTGTGTGTGTGGTGTATACTTTTGGAGGGGGGGCATGCCATACCTGGTGGTGCTAATGGACTCTTCCTTGCTTGGTGCTCAGGGCATCACTTCTGGCACTGCTCAGGGGACCATGTGGTGCTGTGTATATATTTGTTTTTGTTTATTTTTTGGGGGGGCGAACACATCTGGTGATACTTAGGGGTTACTCCTGGTTCTGTGCTCAGGAATTACTCCAGGCAGGCCTCTGGAACTATATGGAGTGCTGAGGATCAGATCCTCATGCAACCAAGTGCCCTACCTGCTGCACTCTCTCCGGTCCCTCCGGTCACTTACATTTCTAAGTGAATGAATGGGTAGAGACTAGTGTAGGGCAGGCTACATCATTTAAGAAGAAAAACAACAAAAACATATTTTTGTTGTATACCACCAAGAATGTTTGACTTATTACTGCGTTGTCTATATCTGGAAGGGAAAGAAGAAAGCAGAAGTAGTATTTACCTCTGGGGAAGAGAACCGGATGGGGTGAAGGGTAAGTGGGAGGCTATTTATATGCCTTTCATTATGCATACTCTTCTCAAGACTTCTAACTTTGAGTACAGTACAGTAGATAAGTGTTTGCCTTCCTTGTGGCTGACCTGGGTTCAGTCCCCAAAACCCCATATGGTCCCTTGAGCACCAGTTGGAGTGACCCCTGAGCACCACCTAATGTGGCCCAAAAACAAAACAAAAAAAAGACATTGAAACTTAAAGGGGCTACCAGGGGTTGGGGTGGAGGAAAATACAGGCAACTGTCAACACGGTCTAGGGCAGAGGTAGAGGTGATTGGGCCCAGAAGATGGCAGGAAGCTGAGGAAAACGGCTCTAAGGTTTTTGTTGTTGGACAGAAGTCCACAGAATTGATTGATGATGTAGGTGTGTAAGACAAGGGAATGAGAAGCGGCCAGGATGAACTTCCAGCTTCTGCTAAACAACTTGGAAGCAGAAATTGTCTTTGTTCCCTTTTGTTTTATTTCTTTGGGCCACACCGGCTGTGCTCAGGGTTTACTCCTGGCTCTATTCTCAGGGATCACTTCTGGTGAGCTCTGAGGACCACATGGGATGCTGGGGATTGGCCGCATGTGAAGTAAGTGCCCTACTCTTTGTACAATCTCTCCAGTCCCCTCTTTTTTCCCCTTAGAATGGTGCCTGGGAAAACCCACTAGGAGTACTAGTGTGTTGGGAACGAGGGACTCGAATATGCAGTGCAAATGCTCTACCCCTGAGCCATAGCCCCCAGCACCCAGACTTCAATTGACAATTTTTAAAAATTATTTAAAATTTTTTTCAGTTGACTTTTTAATTTCTTAGTTGGTCGTCTAAGGCAGTGCTGTGTGTGCTTTTGAGCTTGCATTCCACCTGCTCTACTAACTCTAGTGACTCCACTAACTCTAGTGACCTAGGATAGAAGCTTGTGTTGGCTTTGAGCTTAGTAGCTGTCCTCTGTCAAATTCACAAATAGGCATCTGATGTACCATACGGGGTTGTGGGAAGAGTAACAAAGGATAAATGAGTTAAGAAAAAAATCATGGGCTGCAGTGATAGTACAGCGTGTCAGGGCATTAGCCTCACATGTGGTCGACCATGGGCACTCGAGCCTTTGCATTTCATATGGTTCCCCCAAATACTGCCAGGTGTGATTTCTGAGCACAGAACAAGGAATAACCTCAGCATCACCACATGTGGTCCCCAAACCAAAAAAAAAAAAAACATGGAGGGAGTTTGTTAAAAATGGATCTGAGGGACCAGAAAGATTGTACAGTGGGCAAGGCACGTGCCTTGCATATAGACAGTCCAGCATATTTTTGTTTCTGTTTTTTTCCCCAGTCCCACACCTGGCGGCACTCACGATGGTGTGGTTCTGGGCATGGCACCTGGGTCTCCCACATGCACAGCCTGGTCTCCACCCTCTGAGCTATCTCCCTGCCCCTAGCTCTGTAAATGTCTGGGGAAGGAAGGAAGAAAGGCTGGAGCTGTAAAATCAGTATGTGTGTAATCAGCCAGTTGCTTTCTGAGATAAAGGCCTTTGAAAGGCACTGCTGATATTTGAAGGAATGAGCTTGTGAGGGTGGGAGGTTTTGAGATTTGATCTTCCTTCTCTCCTTTTCAACATCTGTTTTCTGTGCAGGCCCGAAGGCATTGAGCGGCAGTACCGGAAGAAGTGTGCAAAGTAAGTGATTGAACATGTTGTCTTTGTTCAGGCATAAATCCACTGGGAGTCCTAGTGTGTTGGGAAAAGAGTGTTCTGACTCTTAAGGCTTCCCTGTTTCTCTCTCCTTATCTGCAGCATCAGGGACACAAATCCAGCAAGCTGCCTGAGGAGAGTCAGTGACTTTCCTTCTCTGACCTGCTAGGTCACCAAAAATGGGGTGTAACACAGTGTTAATTGCAAAATGGAGAAGGGGCTGGAGAGAGCGCACAGCAGGTTGGGCACTCATCTTGCATGTGGGCCACCCAGGTTCCAGCCCCACCAGGAGTGATCCCTGAAGGCAGAGCCAGGAGTAAGCACTGAGCACCAGTGAGTGTGGCCCAAAACCAAACCAAAAACTCAAGTTGCGAGAGTATTAATGCAGATACACACACACACACACACACACACACACATATACTCACACACATACTCAAAATTTGGTTAAGGCAAATCCACACACACATATAATTTACAGTGAGGATTAGTTGAAGCAAACACAAATCCTCACTATATTTTGGTGGGAGAGTGGGAACAGTCTTTGGGCCACACCTGGCAGTGCTCAAGAGGACCCTATGTGACATGGGGGATCAAATCTGGGTTGACTGTGCAAGGCAAGTGTCTTCTCCTCCCTTGTACTCTCTCTAGCTCTCAGTCACTGAGAACAGCCTGAAGCTTCAGGTATATAAATTTCTGGCTTCAGTGTTCATAGTAAGAATGTTAAACTATAGTAGAACACCACTTAGATCCAGCATCTCAGAAGGCTCAGCTTGGGAGAATAAAAGTGGGGATAACAGGATGAGGAGGTATATTGATTCAGGGACACCCAGGACTTGTGAGTTTGTGTGCTGTATAGGACTAAATAATTAATGCCCATAAAGACCAAGCCAAGGTGGGGGGTGGGGGTGGTGGTGGGAGGGATACAAGGATCATTGGTGGTGGAGAATGGGCACTGGTGGAGGGACGGGTACTCAATCATTGTATGACTGAAATGTAAGCACGAAAGTTTGTAAGTCTCTAGTTGTACCTCATGGTGATTCATTTAAAAAATTTTAAAAATTTAAAAAATTTAAAAAAAAGACCAAGCCAAGGGGCCAGAGAGATAGTACAGCAGTAAGGCACTTGCCTTGCCTATGGCTGACTCGAGTTTGATCCCCAGCATCCCATATTGTCCCCTGAGCACCACCAGGAAGGATCCCTGAGCACAGAGCCAGGAGTAAACCCTGAGCCCTGCTGGATATGACCCAAACACACCTCAATCTCTCAGTCCTCTCGGTTCTGTTTTTAACAAACTCCCTCCATAATATTTTGTTCTGTTTTGAGGCCACACACATCAGTGCTCCTGGCTTACTCCCTCTGTGATTCTTCTGAGTTTTTTTTTTTTGTTTTTGGGTCACACCTGGTGATTCTTAGTGGTTACTCCTAGCTCTGCACTCAGGAAATACTCCTGGGGATGCTCAGGGGACCATATGGGATACCAGGGATCAAACCCGAGTTGGTCATGTGAAGGCAAGCACGCTATCTGTACTATGACACCAGCCCCATCTTCTGAAGTTGTTTGGGGAAGCAGTAGAAAAACCAGTCATTTGTTTAAGCAGCTAGCATAGCTGTTCCCCAAGTCCAAGCACAGATTGCCAGTCATGGTTGGGGGCTGAGGGGATTTGGATTCTAGGACATCCCAGAGATCTATCACACTCTTTGCAGGTGCGGTCTGCCTCTCTTCTACCAGACACAACCGAAGAATGCAGCTGTGACCTTCATCGTTGATGGAGCGGTAGTCAAGTTTGGTCAGGGTTTTGGGAAAACGAATATATATACTCAGAAACAGGAGCCACCGAAGAAGGTAAAATTCCCATTGATGGAGCGAGACTCTGGGTCTGAGAACAGCGACAGCATTAGCCCTCAGTTTTCACTAAGACCAGAACTGCCCTTTTGTGCATGCCGTCCTGATTAAGACTGACATTTGCAAGAACCTGGGGAGCAGGCGCAAAGGACTGAATGCCAGGTGTGGATTCCATCCCTGGCCTCCCCAAGTTTGGTGCAGTGAAGAGAAAGAAAGAGAGAATGGCAGTTTGTGTTTAAGTTGCTGTTCCCAAATTGTTCCATCTCTTATGCATTTGCATTTTCATTCACTTTGATTTCACTTGACATTTCCGTCTGTTCATTGTGAGTAATTAAGAGTGGAATGAGTTGGACTAATTTTAAAAGCCACTAAAAAGCTCTTGGTGGCCGGGGAGCTGTACATTGCTTTGCATGAAGGAGTCTGGGGTTCAGTCCCTCACACTTGGTGCCCGTGTGTTCCCTGTGTACCTCTGGCCATGACTCAAAGTACAGAGCCAGGAGTAACCTTTAGCATGGCCAAGTGTTGGTTGGAAAAGCAAGAAAAGAAAATGACATTTTGGAGTTTAACAGGTTGATCTGGGTGCTATATTGTGTGTTAATTAAGCCACACCTAAGTGTGAACAAGTGGGGGGATGCACCAGTGTCACTGTATTAAGCAGCACTATCAAGTTGCATCATTGATTGATTTATATGTGCTTCCCCCCCCCCCATATCAGCCTGAGGAATTGTGAAGAAATTGCATGGTTTTATTTCACTTTTTAAAAGATGTCTTTCATTATGAGTGATTAGAAATGGAGGGCTGGGATCAGAGAGATAGCACAGCGGGTAGGGTGTTTGTTCTGCATGCAGCTGCCCTGGATTCGATCCCTGGTATCCCATACAGTCCCCTGAACACCACCAGGGTGATTCCTGGGTGCACAGCCAGAAGTAACCGCTGAGCATCACTAGGTATGGCAAAAAAAATGGAGGACGAGAGAGACAAGCCAGTAGAGGGGTTAAGGTGCTTGCCTTGCATGTAGCAGACCTGAGTTCAATCCCTGCCACTCGCATGTGGTTCCCCCAGCACTGGAGTGACCCTTGATCCCTGGAAGATACAGCACAAAATATAGTTTTTCCAAAAGGGATCAAGGTAATTTTAAATATACTTTAAATGCCAGAGTTATGGCGTAAAGCACTGTAGCATATACTTTGCTTACCAGAGCTGTAGATTTGATGCCCAGCGTTAGCCATTATCCTATCCCCAGAAGGCTCCCCGAACAGTCAGGAGTGAATGCCCTAGCATTGCACTGGGAGTAGCCTCTTCTCAGCCCCCATAGTAGGAAGATGTATAATTTGTGGGGCCAGAGAGCTAGTGAATAAGAGTTAGTGAATAAGGCACTTTCCTTGTATGTGGCCGGGTTTGATCCCCAGCACCCCATATGATCCCCCACCAGGAGTTATCCCTGGGCATCACCAGGTATGGCAAAAAATAAAATGGAGAGCCATAAAATGGAGAGACAAGCCAGTATAGGGGTTAAGGTATAAGCCCTGAACACTGCTGGTGTGGTGTATTCTCTCTCTACCTCTCTCTTTGTCTCTCCCTATATACACATATATAATGTATATATATATTTCATATATATAAAATATATCTATTTCGTGTTCCTGGAGCGAGCAGATGTCATTGGGCTAACACTAGCTTGTGATAGGGATGAATGAAGACTGGTGCCCGCTCAAGCAGCTGGATGAGCAATGGGATGACAAGTGATGACAAGTGATAAAGTGATATATATGTGTGTGTGTGTGTGTGTGTGTGTGTGTGTGTGTGTGTGTATAGGAAAGGAAAAGTATAAGGCTTGTTGGTGTGTTAGGAAAATACAGCATAAAAGAATCAGCCTTATTGGTATGTTAGAAAATTACAGTGTAAATGCCACCACGGCTCTTTGGGAGAGGCCAGCTTGTCCCAAAGAGCTGGGCATTTCCCCAGTGCCTGCTCTCTTCCCACCCTACCCCCCATACCCTGGCACAACTTCCTCACTAGTGACTCCTGCCCACTGCTCGCAGAGATGCTTGTTGTGAACTGGACTGATTTCTCATTCTTCCACTCTAGGTGATGATGACCAAACGGACCAAAGACATGGGCAAGTTCAGCTCTGTTACTGTGTCTACTATTGACGAAGAGGAAGAGGAGATTGAGGCTGTAAGTGTTAATGGCTTTGGGGCAGGGGAGCGGTCAGTGTAAGGCCAGGGCACACTAGAGTCAGGTTAGAGTGTGCCATGAGGCTGAGCAGCCTGGCATATAGACCCCACGGTGCAGCTTCCTGCTGGCCTGGCTTTGTGGTGGCCTCTGAAATATCACACGTCAGGGAGTTGGCTTAGGTCAGGGGTTTTTGTCTCCTACTCCAAACACTTCCCTCCATTTTTTAAATTGAATCACTGCAAATTACAAAGCTACAAAGATATTTATGATTGAGTTTTAGGCATACATTGTTCCAACACCAGTCACTTCCCCAATGAACACTATCCTCCACCAATGCCCCCAGTTTCCGTTCTTCCCCCCCCCCCCCCCCCCCCGCCCAGCCTGCCCCTGTGGCAGGCACTTTTCCCCTCCCCCCATTGTCTTAGTCTTCCCTTATATCTCTCACCCCTGCCCTAGTGCCAAGCTTCCTACTGGAGACCAGTTCTCCTGCGCTTCATTTCTATTGCCACTGGGCATTTGATATTCTTCTAAAAGGGTTCTTTATATCCCACATACGAGAGAGATCATTCTGAGACTATTCCTCTCCCTCTGACTGATTTCACTCAACATGGTATCTCCAGATCCATCCATATTGCAGCAAATTGCATGACTTTATCTTTTCTTAAGACTATGTAGCATTCCATTGTGTATATGGACCACAATTTCTGGCAAATTCTTCGAGGGAGCAAGTAAAGACCCTCATTCAACCCTCATTCAGTGGATGTATAGAAGACCACCTAGGGCTGGCAAGGTGGTCCAAAGGGTCAGAGTGCATGCATTACATCCTGGAGCCCCTCTAGCGCCATTATGTTAGTGGTCCCAGAAAATAATTCATTCATCCCTCCCCCCACTCAGCAAAGCTATTGCTCTTAGGCACCAGGGACATGGCCCAAAGTGCTGGAGCACATGCTTTACATGTCAAAGCCCAGGTTTGAACACAAACCTACATAGTTCCCTTCCCCCCACCCAAGCACTGCCAGGGGTGGCCTCTGAGCACTGCTGGGTATGATCCTTCATCCTCTAAAATGGTTGTACTTTGAACCTTCGATGATGGCACACAAGTCTTACAAGGCAGAAACCCTGTTTGTTCCCTGACACCAACCTGCCCACTCCCTCTCCCAGTGCGAGATGTGGCACCCAAACAAGGAGGGGCACAGCCAAGTACAGTGGGTAAGGCACTTGCCTTTGCACAGGGCCAACCTGGGCTAGCGCCTAGCACCCCATAGGGTCCCCTAGAGCCAGGAGTCTAAGTCCTGAGCATTGCTGGGTGTGGTACCAAAATCAAAAAAAGAGAGGGGTGTGGAATATTTGAAATGATTCCATACAACACTTCCTAGTCGCTTGTAGGCTGGCTGAGATGGTTTGTGATGCTGTCCTTAGTGGTTGTACCTACCCCTTCCTGGTCCTTAACTCTAGTGATGAGTACATAGAGAGAGGTGGTGTCTGGTATATTAAGAGAAATAGTGGGGACTGGAGTGATAGTATACAGCAGGGAGGGTGTTTGCCTTGCATGTGGCTGACCCGGGTTCAATTCCCGGCATCTCATATGGTCCCCCAAGCATAGGAGTAATTCCCGAGTGCAGAGCCAGGAGGAACCCGAGCATCACCGGGTGTGACTCAAAAAGTGGGGAAAAAAAAGCAATAGCAGTGGAACCTGACCCCTCAGGCATCTCTGCCACCAAAAAGCATTGAAAAGAATTGGGACTGGGGAGATAGAATAGGGGTTAAGTAAGGCTCTGGCCTTGCATGCTGGCTGACCCAAATTCCCAAACCGGCACCATGTAGGGTCCTCCGAGTCCTCCCAGGAGTGATCCCTTAACTCAGAGCCAGGAGTAAGCCTTGAGCACTGTAGGTTGTGCCACAAGCCATTCACCTCCCAACCAAAAAAATTAGTTGAAAGGGAGCAGAGTTGGGGTGGTAGAGATAGTATGGGGTTTAAGGCACTTGTCTTGCATGTAACTGACCTGGAGTTGAACCCTTGCACCACCAGACTCCCCTGTGCCTGGCCTGCAGTGATCCCTGGGTGTAGGTGGGTATGGCCACCCCCAAGCCAATTTTTTTTTTAAAAAAGAGAGGGCTGGAAAAAATAGTACAGCAGGAAGGGCTTTTTTTTTTCAGGTAGGGCTGTTGTGCAGCTGACCCAGGTTCAATCCCAGCATCCCATAGGTCCCTGAGCACTGCCAGGAGTGATTCCTGAGCATAGAGCCAGGAGTAACCCCTGAACACCACTGGATATGGCCCAAAAACCAAAACCAAAAAAAAAAACTGCAAAAGAGCAGAGTCATGCTACTTGCAGGAGGAATTTCTGACTTTGAGCTGAATAGAGGGTTGCTTACTTGCTTACTTTTGTTCCTGAGTGAGAGTGTGGGGTTCACTGCAGTGTTGTTTTTTTCTCTCTCAGCGGGAAGTTGCCGATTCTTATGCACAGAATGCCAAAGTGATTGAAAAGCAGCTGGAGCGGAAAGGCATGAGCAAGAGGCGTTTGCAAGAGCTGGTGAGTGGCTATGGGGAGGATGGGGGGAGCAGTTGCCAGGTGGGGTGGAGCGCATCTGGCACACCCTTCAGGGCCTAGAGGGAATCTTTTTGCAAGTCTGGTGGTGTGGGGGTTGGTTCTATGTGTGTGTGTGGCGGGGGGAGTTAGATACTCAGGGGTGGGGAGCCCTTACTAGTGACCCAAACTAGAATGATATTTTCATCTGCTGCTTGGGACACCGGCCTGTGAGTGTCAGATTGGGGTTCACAGCCACTCCTCCAGAATGTGGGGGCCCACGAAAGCACTGACTTGGCAGCCCAAGAACAGGGGGGGGGGGGGTTTGTGTTCCTCCTTGCTTCCTGAACCCAACTGGCGATTGCCCTCATTACCCTTGCTATGCAGGCCCGTGTTTCAGAGGGCTAACTCAGGGTGCTTCAGAACAAGGGGTAGTAGGGGCCAGAGCGACACTACAGCAGGTAGGGTGTTTGCCTTGCACACGGCTCACCCGGGTTCGATCCCCTGCATCCCATATGGTCCTCCGAGCACTGTCAGGAGTGATTCCTGAGTGCAGAGCCAGGAGTAACCCCTAAGCATCGCCTGGTATGACCTCCCCCCAAAAGGCAAAACAGAACAAGGGGTAGCACACTACTTGATTAGCTCCCATCTTCTGGATGTTTGGGGGGTCTGGGGTGCTGCATGCCTTTGCTATAGCAGTCTAACCCCTGGCTTCTTAACTTGGAGGCTGTGACCCCCCCATTTCAGGAGATTTAACTTTTTTTCAGAATGTGTTTGAGATAAATTTCCTTGTGGTTTCTTATTAGTAAATGTTGGACTTGGATACCCATTTTATCTCTCTCTTCCCAGGGTTACTGAGAAGTTTGTCAGGCCTGGGGCTAGACTGTGCAGTGGAGAGGGCGCTTGCCATTCCCACAGACAATGCAAGTTCTATCCCCCTCAGTGCATAGGGTCCCCGCCCTCCGAGTCCTACCTGGAGTGATCCCTGAGCAAGAGCCAGGAGTAAGCCCTGATCTCCTGGGTGTGGCTCCCAAACAAACAAGCCAATGGCTCCAGCAAAAAGACTGGAGCCAATGGCTCCAGTCACAGGTGAAAAGAGTCTAGGATGCCCCATAGAGATCACTGTTTACTGCAACAAAGTAAACAAAGGCATGGTGTTTGCTGCTTTTTACAAAAACTGCTTGTTTTACAAAACTGCTTGTTTTGTTTTACAAAAACTGCTTGTCTGCTTGTCAGGAAACAGGATTCTGCGGGCTGGGGCTGGGGGAGCCTTTAGCATTGACCGCTGTTTATTCCCTTGCTGTATTTCTTTACACATCACATATGAGCAAGATCATTTAGTGCTCATCCTTCTCCCTCTTGACTCCCTTTGCTCCTCATGACACCCTCCTGTCCCATCCAAGTGGCAGCAAGCTCCATGCAAGCCTTGCCCTGTTTTCCCAGCTGTGCTGGCCCAAGTTTTGTACATATCTTGGATGAAACTGCCCCCCCACCCAGTTCAAAGGGCTAGTGAGACACTACACCGGGTAGGGTACTTTCCTTGCATACAGCCCTGGGTTCAATCCTCGGCGTCCTTTTTGGTCCCTGAGTGCTATCAGGAATAATTCCTGAGTGCAGAGAAAGTGTGACCACTAAGCACCACTGGTGTGAGGCCCCTCCAAAAAATTTACAAAACCAACAGCTCATAAACCACACACCTTTAGTAGTACAGGTTCCCTTGAGCAGTTTGTTCTACAGTGAGTGATCCCACACTTCAGTGAGTGGCAGGGCACGAATTTGAGTATGGTGACCCCTGCTGGAACCTGGGGCTATAGCATCCCAGTCCTGAGCACCTTGGACACCAGCCTCCCACATCTTGCTCCCATTTTGCCACAGAAAGTAGCATTGTCTGTACACGCTGCAGCAGCAGAAAGGTTACAGAGGCCTCTGAATTCATTAGCGTTGGAAACCATGCTCCAAATTGGTTCAAGAAGGGAGCATTCAGGGAGAGTCTTTGGGACGACTGAGTAAGGGAGGAAGAGTACAGTTGCATGTCATGCTTCAGGACATCTACTTTCCTTCCTTTGCAGGCTGAATTGGAGGCCAAGAAAGCCAAAATGAAGGGGACACTGATTGATAACCAGTTCAAGTGACCAAGACCTTGCTTTGAGGTGGATAGAAGCATTTCCAGCAAGAAGAAAAGAGATTTGTATGATTTTTATTTCCTCTTTTTTATTTTAAAGAATTGTCATTTTCCGGGGGCTGGAGCACAGGGGGTAGGGCGTTTGCCTTGCATGCAGTTGAGCCGGGTTTGATCCCTGGCATCCCATATGGTCCCCCAAGCATCGCCAGGAGTAATTCCTGAGTGCAGAGCCAGGAGTAATCCCTGAGCATCGCTGGGTGTGGCCCAAAAAAGAAAGGAAAAAAAAAAGAATTGTCATTTTCCTGCCTCCGTGGACTGCTCCTCCTATTTATGCCCCAGCAGAAGGCTCTGTGGGGCTTCTGATGTGCCTACATGCAGTAGGGCCCGTGAGGCCACCTGATCTGCTTTTTAGAGATTTGAGCTTTTGGAAGCATTTCTGTATATGTTTGCTTTGCGTTTTATTGGATTCCTGTGATGTAAGCTTCTTAAGCTGTATAAACACTTTGAACATATAGATTCTGGACTGTCGGTTCTTATTTCTTGAAAAATAAGAAAATGTCAGAATAAATGGATAAACATCGAAAGTATCATGCTGAATAAAATGAGTCCTGAGAGGGACAGTCATAAAATTATTTCACTCATTTGTGGGATAAAAAAAAGCAGTATGAGACTAATACTGAAGACAGTATAAACAAGGACCAGGAGGACTGACCCACAGTTGGAAGATTGCCACAAGTGTCGGGGGAGGTTGGTTAGGCCAGAGAAGGGACCACTATGACAACGATAGTTGGAAATGATCACTCTGGACAAGACCTGAGTGCTGGAAGTGGGTAAGGGATTATGATAACATTTCGGTACCTGTATTGCAAACCATAATGCCCCAGAGAAAAGACAGAGGGTGGAGTGAGTGAGAGGGGGCTGAGAAAGAGAGAGGGAAAACAGAGTAAAAGTGCCTGCCATAGAAGCAGGCTGAGTACGGGGTTATGGGAGGGAAACTGGGGACATTGGTGGTGGGAAATACACACTGGTGTAGGGACAGGTGTTAGAACATTTTATGGCTGAAAGCCAATCATGAACAACTTTATAACTGTATCTCACTCTGATTAAATAATTAAAATGATGGGGAGAGGGCTGCTAACAGTGCTCAGGAGATCCAGCACTATTCTCAGGGACATTCAGCCATTGAGGCCAGACAGTTCAGTGCTCAGGCCTAGTGATGCTGGGGCCATATGGTGCTAAGGATTGAACTCTGGCCCTCACACGTGTAAGGCATGCATGCCAGTCGTTTGTATATTTCCCTGCTCTCAAAATGTTGAAAGATTAGGGGCCAGAGCCATAGCACAGCAGGTAGGCTGCTTGCCTTGCACACAACCAACCTGGGTTCTATATCCACCTATACCATATGGTCTCCCAGCACCGCCAGGAATAATTTCTGAGTAACGAGCCTGGAACAACCCCTGAGCATCACTGGGTGTGGCCCCAAAACAAAATAAAATGCTGAAAGGTCATTCACTGCTGGTGGGAATGGTGACTGGTCCATCCTTTTTGGGAAACAATGTGAACACTCCTCAGAAATAGGAATTAAGTTCCCATATGACTCAGCAGCAACTCCAATTCTGGGCATCTACCCCAAGAACCACCAAAAAACTATTCAGAAAAGCCATTGGCATTCCTGTGTTGATTGCAGTACTGTTCACATAGTCAAAATCCGGAAACAATTCAAGTACCTGGATAAAGAAACTACCAAATATACACAATGGAATAATACTTGGCTAGAAGAAAAGATGAAGTACAACTCGATGCTATGTGAGTAGATCTGGAGAGTAGCATGCTGAGTGAAGTTAGTCAGAAGGGGAGAGAGACAAACACGGAATGATCTCTCTCATATTTCAGATATAAAGAAACACAATCAGGGTATAACAAATGCCCCAAAGCAACAGAAGCCAAGAACTGGCCTTTTGTAGGAAACATACCACAGGGGTAAGAGTTGGGAGGGGGCCACTAGGACAATGATGAAGGAAAGTGGGAACTTGGGGAGAGTGTAGTGAAATGAAACAGTATCATTACTAGTATTGTAAACCATGGTGCCTAAAATAAAATTAACCAAAAATAATGTTGAAAGATCTTTGAAGAAAATCCTACAAGGACTGGAGAGAGAGTTCAGTGGACTGAATGCAGACTTTCTCTGTAGGCAGCCTGGCTTTGACACCTTTTCACCTCATGGTCCCTCGAGTACCAGCAGCAGCAACCTGCAAGCACAGAGCCAGAAGTAGCCCCTTGAACACTGCAGATTGTGGCCCTGAAAATGAAACAAATCATGCTGTATCATAGGGGAAAAAAAGTGGCATGAATTCTATTTAAATTTTCAGTGCCCTAAATCCTTTGCACTGATACCCTTGTCTTTCTTTGGGGGGCAGGGGTAGAGCCATATCCAGAAGTGTTCAGGGGTTATTCCTGGCTCTAAATGCAGGAATTACTTCTGGCAGGCTGGGGGACCCAATGGGGTGCTGGGGATCAAACCTGGCTGCCACATGCAAAGCAAATGTCCTGTTCAGTGTAGTGTCTCTCGGGCCTCCATGACACCCTTTCTTTAGGCTGCCAGGTACTAGCAAGGGTTTGACTCTCACCTATCAAAGAAAAGCCATAACAATCCAGAGTTGGACTGGAGTGATAATACAGCAGGTTGGGTGTTTGCCTTTCTCGTGGTCAACCTAGATCCAATCCCTAACATCCCCCATGTGGCCCCCTGAGCCAACCAGGAGTGATTCTTGGGCACAGAACCAGGAATAAGCCCTGAACATCACCAGTTATGGCCTCCAAATAGAAAAATCCAGAATCTAGGGGCTGGAGAGGGATACATCAGATAAGGCACTTGCCTTGCAGTCCCCGGTTTAATCTCTGACACCCCATAGGGTGTCAGGCCCCACCAGAGTGATCCCTGAGTGCAGAGCCAGGAGTGCTTTCAATGGAATCATGATGGTAGGGTCTCAGTAAATCACTTACTGTTACCACCATGCTGGCAAAGTAGCTAAGAGGAAGTACTGCTTCCAGGAGTGGGCACACAGGAGGGAAAATGCTCTAGAGTAAGTATGAGACAGGACCAGAGAGACAACACCAAGGACTGGAGCATAGACTGCATGTGGAAACCCCAGAATCCACCCCTGACACCTCAGTATTCCCTTGAACACCACTGGGTGTGACTCACACTGGGAAAAAAAGATACTGAGGGGCCAGAGAGAGAGGGTTTAGGGGTTATGGAACTTGCCTTGCATCCTACTGACCTTGGGTTGAATCCTCAATACTGCATATTGTCTCCCAAGCAATGCCAGGAGTGAGCATCTCCTTGAGCATCACCAGTTTGGCCCAAACTCTCTTCCTTCACACCAAAAAATGATACTGAGGTAAATATAAATATAATCCCATAACTGTATGGTATCAACAAAAGTATCTGGTGGTTTTTATTTCAAATTTTCAATTTGTGGAGGATTGTTCACTATATAAATATTATCTCATGCTGCTTTAGTGATAGCAGTATATAGTGTTTGTATCAAAGTCTATTTTTCCCCACTGGTGCCAGGGATGGAACCCAGGAATTTCCACTTACAAAGTGAGTACTACTGAGCTTTGGCCCCAGCCTTGCGTCCACATCTTTCTTTTCGGCTGCAGGGGAGTTGTATTTTGGGAGGCCATACCTGGTTATGTTTAGGGGTTACTCCTGGCTCTGCACTCAGTAATTGCTTTCTTGGCAGTGTTTGGGGGACTCTATTAAACCTGGATCTGCCACATGCAAGGCAAGTGCCCTACCCACTGTACTATTGCTCCACCCCCAGCGTCAACATTTTTCTCTCTTCACATGTATTTTACAGGTGTTGGGAAAGAAGAGTGTTTTAACTTCCTTGTATGCAGTCAAATGCTCTGATGGCACTTAAGTACCTAAGAAGTGGGTGTGAGGTGTTATAGGGAAATAACAGGACATTGAGTTTCCCCTACCCCCAGTTCCTTATTTGGAAAGAAAAGTCAGTTTGTGTGAGCTATCAAGAACTAGGAGGGGGGCTGGAGCGATAGCATAGCGGGTAGGGCGTTTGCCTTGCATGCAGCCAATGTGACCGGCACAGGTTCGATTCCCAGCACCCCATATGGTCCCCTGAGCCGCCAGGAGCAATTCCTGAGTGCATGAGCCAGGAGTAACCCCTGAGCATCGCCGGGTGTGACCCAAAAAGCAAAAAAAAAAAGAACTAGGAGGAAGAGGAGTGGGGGACCCTGGAGACCCCAAGGTGCTTCTCGCTATCACCTTGACATTTATTCTTCTCCACCCAATGGGAACATGTCACTGAACTTTTCTCTGCCTAATTTTGGGGTCCTCGTTCCAAGGGATCATTTAGCAGCATTTGGATGACCAAGCATGTCCTCTCGGTTCCCTTTTTCTAATTGTCAAGGTGGTTGTAATGAAGTTAAGATGGATATAATGGTGTTAATGTCAATGATTTGGCTGTAGTTATTCATTCCACCATTGATGTGCCACCTATTACCCTCCACCACTGTTCACAGTGTCACTTCTAGTCCTCCTCTGCCTTCTCTGCCTTCCCCTCTTCTCTCTGCTCTCGATAACATCAGTTGTGTAGTGGAAGTTCAGCACCACAGATGAGCAAGATAATTCAGCATTTGATATGCTTCCTTTGACTTATGTTGTTTAACACACCAGTCTTCATGTCTACTCAGGTAGCAAAACATAAAACTTCACCTTTGCTTATAGCTGAGTAGTATTCCAGTGTGTATATATATTACACACACAGACACACACCATCACAATTCCTTCACCTGAACTCCAAACCCCCAACTCCTTCAAGTTCCAGACATTAGTCTCAACTCCAAACCTTAACTTTTATTCCACTTTATTTTGTTCCTGCAGTGCTTGTGATTGCACTTAGTATGTGGGCAAGACTGGGAATCAAACCCTAGGGAGTGCTCTCAGAGCTATGTTTCCCAATATCCCAGAGTCAGTGAACAGTAAGGCCAGAAATGTGACAATATAACTATGCTGCACTGCCCTGGTAACTGAGGAAGAAGTTCGGTGGCATCAAGTCTGGGAAACGGCTTTAGACTCAGGATCGCCACTGTGCCATCCAGGTCAGAAGTCCCCACAACCATGCACTTGATCTCTCCATAACTCACCATAGACATTCAAAGACTAACTGTAGGCACTTAACCACACAACAACACACAACAAACAACTAACAAATTGCAAAGGTCACAATGGTAAAGCAATGCAGAAAAGCAGCAGGCTTAGTGAGTGAAGATGGTAGTCCAGAAGACTCAACCAGTAATAATGAGCTATATAACTTCTCTGATAAGGAATTTAGAGTGTAATTGCTGGGAATGTATAAGGAGCTCACAGAAACAATGGAATGCACCACCAATAAAACACAAGAAGCAGGGCTGGAGTGAGAGCACAGCCGGTAGGGTGTTTGCCTTGCATGTGGCCAAACCGGGTTCGATTCCCAGCATCCCATAT